GCAAATTGATTTTAATAGCCATTTTATGTCCATGAACCCTCTTGACCGTTTTCGGTCCGTCCTTTCCTTTCAGCTGCTGCCAGGCCCTAGAACCAAAACTGCTTATTACAAACTGCAAAAGAGCTGCTTTGGAAATCTGCCGCATTTGAAAGCCAGAGTTCCGTTTCTCTCTATGACGAGTTTTGATGACAAAATTTGCAACGGATTTTTAGGAAGACTGCTGGCTTTGGCGACTGGAAAGCCTAGTTTTGCGGCCCGCAAATTAGTTTTATGCTTGTGTCGAAAAATAGACTTGTCGGATTTTTGAAGCCCTCACTCTACTTCTGAGAAATTGCAAATTCGACTATAATCATGTATGCTCATTATTCAGGTAATGTTGCCAGTGCAGTTAAACAAAAGCAGAGCTGCGGCGGCTCGCAGTCTTTATGGGCTTGTACCTGAACAGTTACTCGGTAACTTCAACTTCATTAATTGTTCATTTATAAGTAAACTATGGTTTAAGTAAGCTAGCTTTTTATGCGTATATATATGTATATATGCATGTGTATTTGCGCGCATAGATTGAAATTCTGAGATTTACAAAAGCTGTGAAAACGGAATTTTGGCAATTTATCCACGGCTACAGTTGAATTTGCTGACTTATTATGAACGTTCACACCCTTTCACTTCTCGTGCAAAAGCATGACAAAACTTTTTTTTTCGGAAATTGGTTTAAAAAATCAGTCAACTGAAAGAGCTGAAATTTCACGACTATGTTCTCCTTATGTGTTTGTGTGCGTGACTCAAATTTACGCTGTCTACGCAGATCTGCAAACGTAAAATGTACTTCCTCGTGTTCCCTTCTCTCTGATTCAACTAGTAAAAGTTCAGTTTGTAACCCTCGGCATCCTTCTCAGTAATCAAATAGGCTAGAAATCTGCTAGTTTCCGCATGCGTTTACATCTTGGCATATTTGCAATTCCAAATCAGGATGAGTAAAAAGCTATACTTTTAAATGGATTTTGCGACCTGCGACGGGTTCGCAGACAGGAAATAATTTTTCATGGGCGCCCAAGCTTGAAGTCCGAACATGTCGAAGTTCCACTTGCAGAATTGTCAGCAACCTTTTGTTACGATAACTAGACAGTAAATGGCTAAAGTTCTACAAGCCTCCACAGTGCAACAGCAGCGGTTCAGCTGAGCGCTTTTCTGGCAGTGCTGAAGAAAAGACTAGCAGGGACATATGGAGCATATGCGCACACATGAATCTGTGGAACAGTGAATTTTGTTGTTTTAACAGTCTTACTGTAGCACACAACTGTGTAAATAGATGGCAAGCGCGCCGACTGGCGGTGCAAGGATGCGTTTTTTGCATGGTTTTTCCAGCAAATGCTACTAGCTAAGATATTTGAGACTGAAAATATCCCTTTAAAATTTCAGCTTTCTAGCTTTTCTGGTTTCCGAGTTAGCAGCTTACCTGCAAAAAACTTTCATGGGCCTGTACATAAAAACCACGTACCCGAGGGCTGGGTTTGAGCTCTTTAATACCTACTTGGACGGGGAACTTCCCCTCAAAATTTCAGCCCCAAGCATTTCTGGTTCCCGAGTTAGCAACTTATCGTAAAAAACCTTGGCGGGCTATACGTGAGTACCACGCGGGTAAGAGCGCTCATTTTGGAGATGGGGCACGTACACGCATGTAGATTAAGTTCCCAAAGTTTCAGCTCTGTGGCTTTTGTAGGTCTCTAGATGAAAAATCGATGCAGACGAACACAGAGGGACACACACAGACAACCTGTCGTCAATATGCGTTTTCTGCATTGTATAAATGCAAAAATGCATAAAAAACTAATGATCGCATCAGAAACTGTGACGCGGGCAACTGTTGGCCTGGCTTTTCTTTATTCTGATTCATTACCATTGATGCTGTTTCTTTCAGTTTTTTTTTTTTTTTTTAAATCCGACACTTTTGACAGGAAATTTGGATTTTAAAATTGCCAAAGAAAAAAGGCCGCTTTAGTCGTCCTGTGCTAGAGAAGCAGTCATTCCAGTTGCTCTCGTTCAGCTCGCATATGCTTCCATGAGAAAGAAAAAAACCTTCCATAGATTTCTAAGCTAAAAAAAAACTTAAAATGCCCGCATAAATCTCCTTCAGTTGTTCATTAAAAATCTACATTTACTTTCAGCCTATGCTTCGTATCTGCCTCGGCTCGGTACTTATGGTGCGAATATGTTTTATAGCGGTGGAAGTAAGTATTTTTTAGTGATATGGAGTAAAAATCATGAATTGTATAGTGGAAGGTGTCATTTACATCATTTGTATGTGTATTGTACATCAACTCTTTATTCACTTGCGCTCCTCAGAGTGCGATTTATTGTCCATTTTGAAAAACATTTTTCAAAGTTTCTTTACCTATTTTTCGATATTTTTCGTGCCCAACAGTGCCGCTCATTTTTTGGGACTCTGTAAATTTCTTCGTCGTTTCTTTTTGTTATTTTCAAAGCACTTCCATTCTGTCCCCTTAATCTTGTAGTTTTTCATCTGGATATAGATTTTTCTACCACAATTTACCTTTCTTCTCCACTGCATAGTTCTTTCTTTCGTCCCCTTCCGTACCCAAAGCATTTTTTGAAGCAGCCCTTGTTTATTTGATCATTCTCTTCACCATGCATTTTGCTGGAGAAATGAAACTAATCGGAGTTCGAAGGATGGTTGAAATCTAAATATCTGTTCACAATTCTTGAATCGCGCCGTGACCATTCATCCAAAATTCATAAGAATTTATGCATTTCAGTTTTCAACGGGTTTCAATCGTACGCCCAGCTTGCACCTACGTCGCCCCCCGGTGGCGTCACAAATGGTGTCGCGCCAGTAGCCGCTGCTGCTGCTGCTGCTGGCGCTGGAGGTGTCACACGTGGTTTCAATGTAGCAGCGGTGCAAGCGGCAGCAGCGCAGCAAGCAGTGGCTTTCGAAGCAGCAGCACTGTACGCGATTGGCGGCGAACCGTTTGCTGGCGTTTATCCGAGTGCAATGCAACAGCCACATCAGACCACTCAACTGCCGCATGCTTTCCATAAGGTTTAGAGCTTATCAGGCCATCTGCAGGAACAACTCTACACGGTCAGTCATTCTACTGTCATCGCCTTTCACTTTTATTTTTGGAATCAGATTCTTTTTTCGCATTTATAATTTGACGTAAATACGCCTGGACACACAGGGCTAAGAGGGTAAGGTGAGGGACTGACTGAGTAGAAGATTAATGAAATTGCCTAGATAAGTGGCACCGCAAGTCATGAACGAAATCCCTTTTCGAAAATTGTTGTGGACGGGGAGAGAATCGAGCCACTCTCTTTCGGGTTCAGACGCGATCTGCTACTCATTATATCACTGACTTTTGTGCTCTAGTTTCAACCTCGCAATACATCTACTGTGCATCTGCCTAGAAAGGTAGAGTATGCCTCTGCTTCTCACAGGAAGTTTTTTTCTTCTTTCCTTGTGGTGGCTTCTTCTTGGCTGGCTTTTCGCAGGTTTTTCGTGACACTGCGTATGAAGTAACTGGCCGGTTGGTTTCCTGGATTCACTGATGATTCCCAGAGATGAAAAAATTAATGTTCAGTAACAGCTTCTATTTTTTTAGGAACACTCTGTGTTGCTGTATGGTTGCCGCACATTTGGTTTTCTCGATGCAATTTTGCTATTGCTGTAAGTCTTCACTCGCACAACAAAAACGTCACTGCTGTTGTTTCAAGCAGTCTAAAATTCTATGTAACAATCATTGTACAGGGCACCTAACAGATTTTTACTCATTTGACGGTTATTTTGTGATATTTTTCGCAGTCGGCATCGTTTTGCTCTTCGTCTTCGGTGCTGCTGCTGCTGCAAACGTTTTTAATTGTTTGACTCTGAGCTTGCCACGTCCAAATAACGCCAGAAAAGTGTTTGAGCGATTTCTTTTACTATACACTGTATTATTGCTAATGAACGATATTATAATTATTTTATCACTTTTAACATCCAATTAATATGGCATAGAAGAAATTGTATTTCGTACTCAGTTGATGAATTTTTGCGAATATCAGTAAAAAGGGCCTACATATAATTTACAACTAAAACTTTTTAAAACATGTTCACCTGAGTCATTGCCAGCTTCTGAAATTCAAACTCCAACAAGCCAAGCTTTCGGGCTACTATTAAAAATGAATAAGCTATATTTTTCGACTGGAACAATTCGAAACTTACAAATATTCAAAATCGATCATCTCTGATACTTCATTTTAAAATAAATAATGAATTTGGCGATGTGGGTAATCCTGAAATGAACTTAGGTTTAGCATTTTTCAAAATGCTGGAAGTACTAAGATTGCTTTCACTTCTTGTGATATGTACAGTAAACGTCCTGCACGTGCCTAACCTGCAGAGGTAGATGAGATTGTAGTTAAGCGAATAGAATTTTCAAACATTTTTTCTTTGAACGCCTGTCTGTTGACTTATTTACAATAATTTATGCAGTTCTTCACCCTTTCAATTTTTTTCTCTCTTTTTGAAATTTTATATTTGTTTTGGATACTCACTGCTTAAAGGCACTTTCTTCTTCTCTGAGCTTTTCTTACACGCTTTTTAACACTTTTTTAATTAGTCCCAGAATTAACAGCTGTATTTTTTTACATATTCTCGAATTCAGATTTGGGAATATAAAATTTAACTTGGAACAGGAAATAAGTTTTTCATCTAAAATTTCCTATCTCTTCAAGCGTAATAAAATACTGTCAACTTCTCTGTTTGTTTGAACGTTTGTTCTTTTCTGTGAAGCGTTGTAAAAAGCCCAGCAATAATTAATGTATGTTCAGGTCTTTTGCAATGTGCCCCTACTTTTTCTGCTACTTCTACTTGGTTTGATTTATCATCGTTAATGCAGCTCCTACAATCATTTTTCGAACTTTTTTTGTTTTTTGTTGTTCTTCATCTTTTGTTTCTCCCCATCGATTGCAAAAAGAACTTCCATTCATCCTAGGAATTACCAAATTTTTTGATGATG